AATTGGAATGTAAATTGGTAGAGACTTTTGGATGACAATCTATTAAAAAACTGAACTATTTATTTCCTTTGATCCAACAGATAACACTTGTACGGATTTTTTTTTTTACACATATTATCATGTATTCACCCTGCTAAGTTCTGGGAATGTTCTAATAAATAGAATGGACATGATCTCTCTCTGATAGAACTCACAGTTAAGTGAACTAATAAATTACCCTGTGTGAACTAAGTACTACACAAGAAATAAATTGGGATAAATGGTGAAATAAGAATAATGATGATGATGATAGCAATAACAATAATAATGGGATGAAGATGCCCAAGCATTGGGAGACCTCTCTGAGAAGATTTTATTAACTGCCATCTAATTAGGGGAGGGGTACCAGGGGAGTGAAGCATTGAGGCAAAAAGAACTTGGGGTTTTGAAAGAACAAAAGAAGGTGTGTGCAAGAGAGAGTGTGGGATGTGGCTGGAGAGGGAAATGGATTGGGCAGTTCCCTAAAACCCATGACAGGCAGTTTCTATACGGTTCTAAGTACACCGGAAGCCATGATCTTCTGAAAACCAGTACTCGGACCGCCGAGTGAGGGCGAGTAATCTGGACAAGAGGCAAGAAAGAAGCAAGAGCTCAGCTATCAGCCCATGGCCCAGGCTGTGCGAGAGATGTTAGGAAAATTTCATTAAGGAGGGTGCTCAGAGAGGGAGAGAACTAAATGGTTCAAAATGCATTTTGTTAGTAGATACAACCTTGCCAGTTTTACCCCTCACAAACAAGAGCCAAAGAAAAGCTTTTCCTAAAAGAAATATTTTGTGAAAGCAAGCATAGGCTTCCTCTGGAAAATTCCTCATTCATACTTTTATGACATTACAAAAATATTCCCACAAGTAAGCAATTACCCAATCAGACTAAATCAGAGCAAAAAGAGGTTGACCCTGGCCTACAGCAGAAGTTGCATTCATTCAAATTTACCCTTCTGCAGTCTGGGTATGAATCAGTACATGATAACAATTACGCAAATCTTTCCAAAGAAATAATTCCAGGTATAACAGAAGCATCATGAACCTTGTTACATAAATTTGAAAGGAACTTGGGTCAATAACTCTGCTTACTAATTACTGAAGTACAGACTGTTCTCTGCAGATGCACAATTATTGCATTTTCTGACATTCATGGATGCCTTCGGGTGATGGTTCTGATGGAAGAGGTGTATAATTTCCATTACCTTGAATAACAAAAAGTGATGGATCACCACTTTTGCAGAACATTTCAAGATGTATGTATAATTTTGTTAACACATGATTTGTGAAACGAACTATCTCAATTCATGAATTTGAGGCTGCGCAAGAACAATTAAGTATCAAAAAGTAGTGATGTTTGATATATAAGATAGATTACGTACATGTTTCCAGTCAAAACAAACTAAAGCGGGTGAAGGCGAAGCGTAATTAACATTCTCTACTTAATGAACAATAGAACTTCTGTAGATAAGGAGCTTAGAAACATTATAGAAGCCTCTCAAGACACTGCCCACTTGAATAAATATTCATTTGTATTGCTTCCCTCTTTATGCTACAGGAAAACGTGGTTCAATTTCCAGCAAAGAGGAAAATTGTTTCTTTAGTTTTTTTAAACTTGTGTTATAGTGTGCACTTTCCAACTCTCATATTTTCAATGTGGCCATGAATTGAAGCACAATAGACATATACGGTGGCATCCCTTTTAATGATTATGATTATTATTGTTAAAATTCTTATTTTTATTTCAGCCTCCTGAATAAGAGCCATTTTCAAGCTGGACTTATGTTTCCAAAACCACCATCAGGAGAGTAATAGCATAACCACTCACCAGAAAGCTTGGAAAATTCCCCCTTTTTTCATTTTCCCAAACACAAATGAAAAGGTAAGTGAAACACTGTTTAGTCCAGAAGGCACCACGCAAATGCACCCCCAGCAGGAGTAACCCTTCCTACCACCAAGTAATGGTGGCTCGCATAGGAAGATGCCTTATTACCTTACTGAGGTCTCCAATCTTCCAAAGCAGAGGAAGTGTTGGCTTAAAACATTGTCAAGGGCACATAGAAAGAAGACTAGAGGGCCTGGTCTGACTAGAAAACACAACGGGAATTATTGCTTTCTACAATTCCTCTTTGTGGATGGAGTTAAACTGCATCAGGCCAAGTACACTAAATGACTCTCCTATCAAGGGTGTCTGTGTCCTTTACATACTGCCCTGCCAAGAATTCTTAGATGGTATTTCAAAATTCAGAAGTGAAATGCAGTATCAGAGACATCCTTCACCTGTGCTCAGGTCAGGAAAAAGTGGAATGATAATCACCGTTTTAAAGCCCTAATTACTTAAAATTGTCACCAAACTGGAGTCTTAGGAAAGGCAAATCAAAACAAACGGAGCCTCATCTAGAATTTGGTGCATAATGCGAGTTAACAGGTGTGCTTACAAATATCATAATTCGCTGCTATCATTTCTTAATATCTACTTTGTCTTTAGCACCATAATAATCTAAAGAATTTTGCTGTATATTAGATGACAGGGAAGGAAAAGAAATTGAGAGTTTATTAAGTTTATCTCTTCTTCCTGCCCCCAAGTTGAGAATGTTATTCATAAAGAGACTAGCTTTTCTCAAGTTGCTTTTTTAAAATAACTTTTTTTTTCGTCTGAGTCTCACTCTGTTGACCACACTGGAGTGCAGTGGCATGCTCACGGCCACTGCAGCCTTGACGGAACCACAGGCGTGTACCACCATGCCCAGCTAATTTTTTGACTTATTTTAGAGACGAGGTCTTATCAAGTTGCCCAGGCTGATCTCGAACCCGTGGTCTCGGGAAATCCTCTCGCCTCCGCTTCCCAAAGTGCTGGGATTACAGGCTTGAACCACGGCACCTGGCTCATTTTTCTCATTACAAAAACAAAATCAGAAACTATGTAAAGGTGAAAATGAAGAAAATAATATACATCTACTATAATCCCCTCATTCAAAAAATAAGTTCCAGTACATTATGGTGGTCCCTTCTAGTCTTTACCTATGTTTACAGATTTTCTCTCACAATGCCGTAAGAAAAAAGCGCCCATATACATACATATAAACCCCAAACTCTCACCACTGTAACCAAATTCAAATGCTAAATTCAGAAAATTAACCTACATTTTGGTCACTGCCTTCTGCACTATATAAATCATTAACAAATTTATTAATACTCTCTTCAGCTTCTGTCCACTCTTATTTTCTAACTAGTCTAGTCAGAGAAACCATCTCCTAATTCAGAAAAGACTATGTCCTACATTGAGTCTTTTCATGTTGGAAAGGATTCTAATCAAAATGGTAACATTCAGTGTTATATATTTTACCACAATTTAAAAGAAACAAAGGCAAAGTTTTACATACAAGGTGCTTCTCCTAACTCCTACACTACACAACTGTCATCTTAAAATACATTATCATTAAGTAGTTTCCCTAAAACTAAAAAGCTTCTAAAACTTGATGCAAAAATTATCTTTCTTCTTTTTTATATTTTTATTATAACGTTTAGAAAAATGAGAACAATATAAAACTAGTTGGAAACTTTACCTTATTTTTGTAAAACTAATCTATCAGTGTCTGACATAAATACTTCTAAAGATAAAATTGCCAGTCTGGGCAACATAGCAAGACCATTGCTACAAAAAAAATTTTTTTTTTTTTAATGTTAACCAGGATCAGTGACACTTACCTGTAGTTCCAGCTACTCAGGAGGCTGAGGTGGGAGAATCACTTGAGCTCAGGAGTTTGAGGTTACAGTGAGCTATGGTTAGGTCAATGTGCTTCAGCCTGGGAAACAGAGCAAGACCCTACCTCTAAAAAAATATTAGTAAAAAGAAATCATATTGCTCTTCTAACAAACTTTTCCTTGAATATCCTAGACCTTTTGAAAGTGTGTTTAATGTTATAAGCAATTTAACTGAAATGGTGTTGGTAGTTTTTCCCCTCTCATCTAACTTGGGTTACAGTCCAAATGTTTAGGCATATCCAAGTATGTGGCATCGTGCAGACAGACAGCAATGGGGGAAATACCTTGAGTAATCAAAAGGGCACAAAGATAACCCAACTTATTAGGCAGATTATTTTTTTTAAAAAAAGTTATAAATGTGGCTGTCTCACACCTGTAATCCCACTTTGGGAGGAGAAGGCCCAAGGATTGCCTCAGTCTAGAGGTTCGAGATCAGTCTGGGCAAATTGGCGAGTCCTCTTCTCTACAGTCAATCAAAAAATTAGCCGGACTTGGTGGTGTGAACCTGTAGTTCTGGCTACTTGGAAGGCTGAGCGGAAGGATCGCCTGAGGTGACAATGAGACTCCGACTCAATAAATAAATAAATACCTAAATAAAAATACTGAAAAGATGTTATCGGAATACTGTCAGAGATCTAATTTTGTAATGCATTATTTATATATTTCAACTATCCAAGACACCATGTGTCTATTCCATTTGATTTCTAGTTGTTTTTATTCAAAACCTGCATTAGTAGTTTCTTAATGGGATGCTGTTGCTGTTTGTGTTTGTACTTAATTTCAATAAAATGTAATATTGCTAATACCTACATTTCACTTACGTTTAAATCTACTCATATCCTGAAGCTGAAGATAAACGCTCTTCTACAAGTTAAATCTGGGGGTATTTTGCATGTTTTGCTTTGCTTTTCAGTTTTTATTGTAACCGTCAGAAGCCAACTAGATTCTTTTTCAGTGTGGTCAGGGCTAGCTTCTGCACTTCCACATCGTGATTAATTTATTATTCATCTGGCACCATCCTATTAAACTTTGTCTTTAGCCTGTGAACTTTTCTTTCTGCTTCCAACAAAGGATTTCATTGCTTTAGGAATTGAGGTGTGTCTAAGTTTTTACCTGGGAGCCAAAGTGATGTAAGCGTTTCTGGTGAGACCAACCCTTGGCTTAGGGTGGGGAGGGACCGCATAACAGGCCATCTGTAGACTCCTGTGGAAGGCAGTGGAGACCCTGCTGAGGGCTCTTCTGGACATCATATGCAGACTGCTGGCAAGGGAGAAGCAGGGACTTCCTTGGATTTCTTCACCAAGGAAATCAGACACAATGGTGGGGATTTTTCCCAGAATCACAGAAGCTCTGGTCATCTTAATGGTAAGTCTTGTATTTTCCTAATAATTGCAAACTTTCCTTGTTCTTTGTTTGTGAGAGGATATTCTATTTGATTGCTGAATCCCTATTATACATTCTAAAAAGAGTGCAGTGGAAATAAACACTATAAAATGAAACTGTAAAGATCACTAATTTCTTTTGTTCTTTTTTGAATGGTGTATTTTACATAGAAAAAATAAAACAGAAAGAAATGAATTTAAAAGTAACCATGTAGTAGTTCTATTTAGTTAACAAATTGCATAATCCTAATCTCAGGTTATATTTTTCACAACATCTTCATTTTCTTCCAAATTTTGCTATTTTTTCAAAAAATACATAAAAGGGAGCCACTCTGTTTTGCAAGATTCCCTGTCTCTTAAAGATATGGCTAAGAACTCTACATGCCTGGTCTTGACACCTGACATGTTTTTAAAGTCAAAAACTGCTGAATTAAAATCAAGCAGCGTTTGACTCTAGAGAAGTAAGGAGGATTACTAAGAAAAGCATTTATGTTTAGCCATTATATGCCAACCAAAAAGAAACTAAATTCAGCTTTGGAGGGGGAAAAAAAAACCATACAATATCTTTAAGCCATTTTTTCAGAAGAGAATGCTTCTGTTGATTGGGAAAGTCTGCATAGTTATTATCTAAAAGAGAAATAGAATATTAGTATGGATGTTACAGCCTAGTTTATTCCTTAGCTGTAATGTTGTAGCTATATATATGTATATATAATATATATAATATAATATATTTATATAATAATTATATATTATATAATAATGTAATATTTATATACGTTATAACTATATATACGTATGTACATATACATACAAACACACATATGCCACAATATTATCAGTTACATAAAGATATCAAAATAGTTAAATATACCTTAAATGAATATGCTAATTCCTGTTCCTCATAATGTGTTAGGTTGACCTAGCCATCTGTTTACCTCATTTCTTCATCTAAAAAAAGTGAGATAAATGGACTCCCAGAGGTTACAGGGAGACAGATCTCAAGAAAGAACTGTCTAAAAATTTAAAATTGTTTCACATAGGGCTGCTTTCTGAGCTAGGATTTCCCAGTCTTTCCTCTCAAGACAATGTACAAGCAGAAAATGAGTCTCAGCTTTTCCTAAGATTCTGTTTCTATTAAAACAATATAACTGTGTTGGGTGCCTCAGGGATTTCTTAGAAACAAGAATGTTGCTAAAGAGAAATGTGACCATTGTATGGCTTTCTTACCTTACCAGATGGGAAGTTTCTGGGCTGAACTGCAGGTAGCCTGATAACCCAAACATCCAAGCCAATGGCCAAGCTCAGGAAGTGAGCAACCATGTAGCACGGAGTATCAGAATAGCATTACCTCAAGGACACAGAAGTGGGCCCAAACAAGCTAAGGGGAGCTCTTTCCCTGCTTTGACAGAGAGACTACTCTTAACTACGACTCTGATTCTGGGATAACTGTGAAATCCTTATACTGAAATTATTTTTTATCTTTGTATACCCAATGCCTACTATATCTGTCTTACAGTGGACACATGATTATTTGAAGAAGGTATAAATGAATGCTTGAAAGAACCCTATCTGAACTGTAACCCCCCCCACAGTGCCCCTATAATTCTAATCATGGAAGACATTATGAAATGTCATATATTTTATTCCACTTAGCAAAATTTTATACACACACAAGCTATTTAAACAATATAACTGCATATGTAATTGTTCAACTGAGTGGTCTAGACCCACTCTGTCCGGTACGGTAGCCACTAGCCACAGGCAATATTTAACCCTTGAAATGTGGTTGGTCTGAATTGAATTTTAAAAGTGTCAAATATACATCATAGTTTGAAAATTTTGACACAAAACAATGTAAAATGTTATTAATAGCTTTTATGTTGTTTATATGTTGAAATTATAGTATTTGGGAAATATTAGGTTAAATTAAATTTATTGTTAAAATGAATTTCACCTTTTAAAAACTTTTATTATATGATAGTCAAAATTTTTAAATAATATATGTGTCTGGCATTTGTGGTTCTTATTTTATTTCTATTGGACTGTGCTGGTCTACTATGAATGCTATTGGTAGAAGGCGGTGTCAGTCAGGAGTGAGGGAATCAAGTCTCCATGGATTCAGTGAGCTTTGAGCTGTATTGTGATTGTTATAGATGGGCCAAAGATGGGTCATCAGAACAATTATACATGAAGGCAGGCACAATTATGGCATTTGCCAGGGGGAAATGAACACACTGGTTTGGCTGGATTGACAGTTTGGTTTGGAGAATTTGGACATGAGTTGGAAAGGCAGATGAGGGTCAGAATGAAAAGTACATTCTGTGATGGTTAATGGAATCCTTTTAGAAATGGGGAGCCACCCAGAGTTTTGAAATAGTGTGGTTATGGGGTGGGGGGGGAAGAAATGTTTTTGAAAGCATTGTCCAGTGGGAATGCACATCTTTTGTTGTTGAAGGGTGGTGTCTGAAACTTGGAAGACATGTATGAAGGCTTTGAAATAAGTCTGCCATCCATGCAAGGGTTGCCTAGAGAAATAACAAAGTCATTCACTTGAGTCTCTGGCTACACCATTGACTCACTCCAGGTTTCCTCAACTGTCAAGTAAGAATAATCATACACCACTCCCTGCCTAATAAAAGTGGTCATAGTGAGAATTAAACAGCAATGTGTGCAAAAGTACTTTGAGAAATATAAATTGCTTTGCAAGCCCTCCAATTTTTATCACTTGTACTATTTTAATAATAGTGATGAATTCTCAACAACTTCTGAATATTATGTCTTACTATTTTTAAATAACCACCAACACCAATTTTAATAAGTCAAGGAAGGATCTACATTTTTCTTGAGTTAAAGAGCTCATCAAAAACAGTTATGAGATTAATTTTTTTAAAACTGACAAGAAAAAATAAAAGTTAGATCTTAAATGAATATAATGTTGGGTGGGAAATAATGTGTTTTCAGACATGGAGAATTCCTCAGAATTTCAACTGTTCAGTCATATACATTAATGATTAGGGAGGAAAAGGCATAGGGAACACCTGTCTACTAATGCAGAAAAACTAATATCAGTTTCTTGTGCTCGTTTGATGCATTTATATAACATAAAACAGACATTTTGAGGAAAAGATTTTGTGGTTGAAAATGCTTATCTTCAGAGATTTAATTTTTTGAAGAAATTTTGTCTTCAAATTTGTCTTAGACTTAGTCTACTCAATCTAAATTAATTTGTCATCCAACATTCTTATAAGCATCTGGACAGCGAGTAATATAATTTTATGCTACTATGTTATGTAAAACTTTTAATAGAAATGTTTGGGATCTAAAGATATTTAAAGTGTAATTTTTAAAAGGAATTGGTGGTGTAGGGAAAAAAAAGAGAAAAGTATTTTAAATACCGAGTTCCAAATTCAGCACATTGTAAATATAGCGAAAATATCTTCAACCCCCGTTTTCTATAGAACATCCAAGAAGTAAATTCTTAGGAAAAGAATTTAGGCTACATGACTCAAGCTCTTAACTTAAGAAACATCTTCGAAGTATCTTTTCTTTTCTTGATGAATCCAGTATCCAGTACTAATAAATATATAAAGATAAATTTCCAGCTGAAACTCTCCATAAGTTAAGATGTTAAAACCGCAATAATCCTGCCAAGTGATTCCTATCAGTCCTGCCTACTTGGGAAGAAGTCAGGAAAGAGGTAATTACTTCTACCAATTAGCACTCCCGCTTGCTTAATACTCGAAACTGGTTTTCATCTGGTGCTAGAACGGTTAGTGCCCATGTGACTTCTCATAAACCTCTTAGCCTTTGGCTCTTCCTTTCCAATTGAGTCAATCTAATAGCCTAAGGTGAGGGCTTGCTTTGGGTAGCTCATCACAAGAAAATTATATAGGTAATCGGTTGCTACCTGTAATTATAAGATGAAGAATTGAATCTGTCTAATATACATATCTTTCTTGCAAGGCCACTGTGCAGCTGGCCAGGTTGTGTACTGCACAACTCCGGGAGGTACATTTACATAAACTACAATGTGAACACTGCCTCCTGGAGTTGTTCAAGGAGCAACCGACACAATTGTTCAGTGGAACACTGTTTACTTTTCTCTTTCTGATTGTCAAGAAAAAGTTCTTATGTGCCTTGACAGTAAATAATAGTAACAGGTCTCTTTAATTCAGTCAGTTGGTTCTTTTATGCCTTTTTCTAAGTTTGTCAATTAAACTTACTGTGGGCTAGGGCTCATCTATGTGCTTTACAACTATTCACTTATTTTATCCACACAGCAAAATTATAAGGTAAATAAAATTATTATCCCTGTCTCACAGATGAAAAAACTTGAAAGACTAAGTAATGTTCCTGTACATGGTGGGGCTGGAATTTAAACTCAGGGATTTAGGATCCAGTGTCCAATGTTATATTACTACCCTTGACTGAGCCTACACAGCACTGACAATAAGCATTTAAGGATATCCAAGGATATTTGTTATTCTTAGCGTCTCTATTATGATACAAGGCCTTAACTTTCTAAATTAATTAATTGAATTGAATTGTCCAAAATTAAGTAATAATTTTCAAGTAATTAGACATATATCATTTTTGTTCAAGGAAGGAATTTGCCTTGATAAATACAAAACTTATTACAGCGTGTTGGGGATTGTGAGTTTTAAATATGAAAGCTCAATATGCAGAGAAAGCTACAAAATATTATGAAAAGAAATCACTCATTTCTTCTGAACTTTACCCCAGTTATGTGCATACATTATACATCAAACATGTATTGAATGACCTCTATAATCGGATACATTCACAATCATTGTGTCTTACCAATTACAGGAATTATATCACCAACCTGTATATATTTCATGACACCTTTTCCCAAAAAAACTAATTAATATAAAATCATGTTTAAAACTTGTAATGTTTTCTTTGAATTATCCACTTCGTTCTACAAATTTCCCAGAGGAAAGTCCTCGTTCTAGAGATGAGAAGAGTGATCATACTCCAGACCCAGTGGGTCAAGCTATCTGCATCTTAATCCATAATCAAATGAACTGTCCCTCCCCAAACTAAAGTTTGAGGTAACAAAAACAAAACCTTGGCCAAATTAAGTTAAATAGCAGGTATCATTACAAATGGTTTTTAAAAATCTACCCACCCATGCTCTCAAATTATATTTTTTGTGTACCTACCATATTCAATAGGAAACTTAACGATAAAACTATATACATTTTTATAGCAAATAGGGTATATGAGCATTAAATTACTTTATTCATATACTTTTTAAATGTAATAATCACATTTGCTTTTAATTAAATATTTCTAATTCTTAACTGCCCCAAAGCATTTAGGCTATATCAGTGCTTTACAAGTCATACAATTAAAATTTTAAAAATAACCAGAAAACAAGAGAAAGAAAGAAAAGTACAGAAATTCTCAAGATAAGGGATGTTTTCTGCACACTGGTATTTCCAATCCAGGCCACCAAAAGAGAAACTTAGTTGATGTAAATTGTCAGAAAACCATTTAAATATTTATTAGCTTGATTTAGCCATTCTGCAATGTACACATATCTCAAAACATGTTGTATATGATAAATATATGCAGTTTTTATTGCCATTCAAATAAATAACACTCTTTTTAAAATATGCAAAATAACTATATTAGCAAATTAGCTAAAACAAGTAGCCATTATATAAGTATTAATTAACTGAAATATCTTACATTTAAAAACTGCTATTCTAGATCATGTAAGGCTGTGATTATGTTTCCAAATATCTAAAGAGTATTACAATATTTAGAAATTTTTCTTATCAGCTACTGCATATTTCTAGATGTACCAAAACACACACACACACACACACACACACACACACACACACACACACACAACCCACACACACACAACACACACACATTTCCACAATGTTTCCTAAAATTGGGAATGTTCTTGGTGGTCTGTCTTTAAAAGGAAGGACAGAAAAGAGTGAAGATTTAGACTAATGTCTGGAAGTCTATGAAAAGATTAAAGAAATAAGAAACAACTGTGACAGTATTCTTCTCAAAGTTCAGGAGAAGAGTTCTTCTTCCTATGCTTCCCAGGAAAACAGGAATCATAGCTTAATGTCTCTTAGAAGAATCCTCCTCTGTGTGACAAGTACAAACATGATTCATATTTTCTGGATGACTCCTTCCAGGTTTCCTGTAAAGAGGATCGTGCCTGGCCCATCCCTCCCCTCACGAGTGGCTGAATCGTTCTTGTGAACTGAGAAAGGAGTTGTACAAATCATTGCTTTACTCTGGTCTTTTCTCCCAAGTAGCTCATGGCATTGCTTAATAAACAGCAGCAATGCTGTAAAATCATTTTTGACATGTTGTAATCACATGCAATTGTTCTTGTTCACAACAATTTGAACACCTGCTCTTTGAAATCAGAGTTTAGAAATGGAAGGGTCCTGACATCCTATGTCTGACATACTTACTCCTTTGGTTCAGACTTGGACTGGTCTATTCATTACAACCCTAGAAAATAAACAATGTAACAAATCTACATTGTTTCAGGAGGGACCACAGACTTTAGTCAGATAGAAATCTAAATTGTCATATAACTTTCTTACTACCACTAGTTTTTTTCTACTAATTTATGTCTACTTTGGTTTGAATCTAGTGCCGGAGTGATTACATGCTGTAGAGTCAAGCTACTGGGGTGAAAATCCTACAAGAGGTTTTAGCTAGGACAAAGTATTCATTATCTCATGTCTCCTTTTCTTCTTCATATAATGAGTCTATGACAGTAGAATATCCTCCAGATGGCTGCTAAAAGTGTAAAATGAGATAATAAGTATAAAACTTTAGAAATAGCAACTGACACAGAAATCACATAATAAACATTAGCTACTATTAATATTCTTCTAATTTTTTTCTTCTGATTTATTTTCCACTGTCATTTTCCTACCAGATTCAGGTCAGATAATTAGTGGCTTGGCAAACAGTTATTAAAGGCCTGCTGAGGGACAGGTATTGTGAGAGTTGCAAGAAAATAAAATAAAATAAAAGCACTGATTTGGAAAGTTCACAATTCTTGGCTTAGCACATAAATTCTTTTATGCACATCAAACAATAAGAAATAGTAAACTATCATGGGTTAAATTACATGGCACGGAATATGTTTTGTACAAACTCAGAAATGGAAACATCAGTAAAGACAGTTTCATGGAAGTTGTTTAAACTTGAATGCATCTTAAAGGATGAGTAATGTTTAAGTGGGTGGAGGAGAAGAGGAATGCAATCCAGGTGGAAAGCAAGGTGGAAGATGACACAGAGGAAGGCGCTATGCACTCTCGAGAAAGGGAAGCCCCTAGCCTGCCTGACTTCATTTTACCCTCACTTAATTTTTTGTGTCAGTGCAACAATTTAAGTTCCATATTTAAATTGAAGTAATAGGTCAAATATTAACAGATCCATGTCTCACAGAGAACAGTATTTGTGATTAGAACAGCATATTCCCATCTTTTATGTTCCATTTTCTAACCCAAACTAGCTCCATTCCATTCTCTCTACTTTTGTATAATTAAAGAAAATGCCCGGTAGTTGCAGATAACTAATACAGGATTGCCTACAAGTCAGTTGGGTGAGGGATGGCTTTTAATAATCTGCTATGGCCATTTTCTGAAGCTTATCACAATGATGCTTACCATTGTCTCTCAAGCAATGACTTCCATAGTTTCTGGGAACTGTTTAGGGAAGAGCCAGGTAAGAATTGTCTAGTTGGTACAACTGGCTATTAGGCATAGTTTTGAATAACCCAATAAATTATTCTTTAAATTATTAAAATTCTGTAGTCAAAGGAAAGAACTGAACTTGTTTATATTGAGAACAACAATTCTCTTCCTAGTAGAGATTTGACCACTGCTTCTCCAAACCTGCTTCTTTTGAAATAGAAACAAATGACAATAAGAACAACAGAATGCAATAATCAGGATTATTAGTTTTATGTAATTACTTATTTGAAGAATTCATACTTAATTTAACTTTATTTAAATGCCTACAGGTGGTCATGCTGGTTCATGGAGAATTGCGAATCGAGGTAAAGTATAAAAAAGTCTTTTGTATTTAAAATAACAGTCTAGTTTAAATAACTAAAATGTGTTTAGGAAAAATATATAAATGGTTATGTGTAAAATTATTTGATAATTTAATAGTGAAAATGTATAAAATTGAAATTCTAGCAACTAACCTAACAATACTTAAAAAATCAGTCCTTTATAAATGTCACTACTATAATTTATTTCATACATTATTTCTTTTTATCTTAAACAAATCAACTGGTCAAATCCCATGTGCCCAGACAGTTAGATACTGTGGAGTATATAATGGAAATATAAAATATGATTAAATGCTAGTATTAAAAACCATATAGCATTGTACTTTAATTATTTAACATTTCTTACTTGCTTGACAAAGCATCAGGTAAAGCAAATTAGACATCTAATAGTCTTACGTATCTTGAAACATAGGCATTCCTCAACCTGGGTGTCTATATTCAGTATTCAAAGTACAAATTTCCATGAATGTGCATAATAAATAGAACCTCTTTTTGCATAAGACAAAAGGACAACACAAAGAAGATGAGACGGCAGTTCAGCAAGCCAAAAGAAGGTATAAACGTGAATGGGTGAAATTTGCAAGACCCTGCAGAGAACGAGAAGACAACTCAAAAAGAAACCCAATTGCTAAGGTAAGTTCTAGCGACAGGGATAGTGTGAGTTTTTAGAATAAATGTACAAGATATACATTAAAATAATTTGACAATTCCAATTAGCACCATACCAACTTGGAGTCCACCGAACAAATGAACTGATGTCTTCAACAAAATAGTATAATAATAATAATAGAGAGAGAAATGGAGGCAACTTCTAGAGTTATAAAAAGAATTGAGACATATGGACCAATTTTAACATAGAAGACTTACTTGGATACAGATTCTAGCAAACAAACAGAAAAAATATATATGGATAAGACAATTAGAGAAATGGTTGGGAGAAAACATTGGATTGGCCATGTCTTGACAGTTGTTGAAGCTGGGTGATGAGATGTATCAGACTCATTATACTATCCTAATTTACATATATTTGAAATTTTCCTTGTTAAAAAACTTAAAATTACAATAATAAAAATAGTTCATGTTGATGCATCCTAACACCTACTGTACAATCCTTTTCCCTTTTTTCTTTCCATTTTCCCCTATTTAAACTAAATAAATGGTATCAGGTAAGGCGAGAGTCTTTAGGAATGGCCTTGTCAATATCAAATGCCCTTGATTTTCCCTCATTTTATCATCACACATGGCCACAGTCTGAGCAAATATCCTAAAGCCAAAATGATTAACATGCATTGGTCCATGCTTGTAGGCAAAAGCAACAATTTGATTTTGTTTAGTATTCTTAGTATTATCAAGGCAAAAAGTAAATGGCATGGTGTCAAAAAGAGTGAAACAAAAGTACATGTGACTTTATACTATGGAGGTCAGGGTGAGGAAGAAAAAGTCTGAGTGACGTTCACCTCAACATTTTGGGTATTTTTGACTACAGATTACTTCAGATTACCAAGCAAACCAGAAAATTACCTACAAAATTTCTGGAGTGGGCATTGATCAGCCACCTTTTGGAATCTTTGTTGTTGACCCAAACTCTGGAGATATTAACATAACAGCCATAGTGGATCGAGAGGAAACCCCAAGCTTCCTGGTAAGTTTGTGTCCTCAACACTGGGGCACCCTTCTCCTTGTGTACCAGAGTTCTGGAAAATGACACTCCTCTACTGGTGAGTTTAGAGGAAAGTAATGCTCCTCTACTGGTGAATTTACAGGCCCAGTGGCTCAAGCCTATAATTCCAGCACTTGAGAGGCAGAGTGTAGAGGATTGCCTGAGCCCAGGGGCTTGAGACCAGCCTGGGCAAATTGGTGAGACCTCGTCTCTACAATAAATAAAAAAAATTAGCTGGGTGTAGTAGTTCGCACCTATAGTCCCAGCTCCTTGGAAGGCTGAGGAGGAAGGATCACCTGAACCCCACAGGTCAAGGCTATGATGGCTATGATAATGCCACTGCACTCCAGACTGGGTGACAGAGTGAGACTCCAACTAAAAAAAAAAAAAAAAAGGATGGATCAGTAAATGAATCAATCCACCACCACCACCATTAGTCCCTCTACCAAAAGCCTCCATTTGCAGTTCACAATCCTGAAGGAACACACCAGGAGGGAGCATGAGGGAGACTGAAATCCTGCATGCAACTTGTCCAGTGTTCACCTCAACATGAGATAGCATCCGCTGGTCTGCCCAGAATGGGCACCTTTTCCTACTTATCTACCTTTGGGGAATTATTTTTCTTTTCTGCACAAAATTCACGTACATGCCCGCAGAGGCCTTCTTTCTACAAGTCTTAATAGTATACAAAGTAAGTGTGTAGAGTAATAATTCACATTTCTTCTGTTTCCAGATCACGTGTCGGGCTCTAAATGCCCTAGGACAAGATATAGAGAAGCCCCTTATACTAACGGTCAAAATTTTGGATGTTAATGATAATGCTCCAGTGTTTTCACAAAGCATATTCACGGGTGAAATAGAAGAAAATAGTGCTGCAAGTAAGTCTTTTATAGCAACTACTTCTTCCAGTGTATCTATTTTCAAATATAAGTATCACTATAAGACATCATTCTTATAAACTAATTTATTCTCTTGGTTTGATCAGTAGTTTTGGAAAATGAAATTCATTAAGATGATCTGGGTCTTCCTTCCTAAAATGTGTAGTTGACCTGATTATCAACTACCATTGCTTTTCTAGGTCATAGTCCTGTTATCAAGTCAATAGTATCTTTTTCCATATATATAATTTACATGAGTTTCAGGTAGTCAAAAAGCTAAAGAGGCAGCATTATGTGGCTGGATGCATCAGCCAGGTTCTTTTAAGATATAAGGAACAAGCCAGGCTCGGTGGCTCAGACTGTAATCCCGCGCCTTTGGGAGGCTGAGGTGAGTGGATTGCCTGAGCCCGCGGGTTCGAGACCCGCCTGGGCAGCAAGACCTCATCTCTACAATAAATCAAAAAATCAGCCGGGCGTGGTAGCGCATGCCTGTAATTCCGACTACTTGGAAGGCTGAGGCGGAAGGATCGTCGGAGCCCAGCAGGTGGAGGCTGCGGTGGCCGGGAGCAGCCACTGCACTCCAGTCTGGGCGACAGAATGAGACTCCAACTCAAAAAAAAAAAGATATAAGGAAGAGAGATATATTCATATTACTTGAATAACTTGGGGAAAAGGAAGAATTATATGACTATCAAGAGAAAAAATAAAGATAGAAAACACTCTCAGTCTTCACAAAGCCAAGACAGAGAGAATTGGAAGATTTTTATGAAAGGCAGTACAGTTCTGGTTAGGAGAGACAGAAAGAGACATCACAAAGTGGCATGCAATACTTTTTCAAGTATGTAGATAGTTTTACGATATTAAAAGTACAAGGATAAATGTGAAATTGTGCTGAAGATTTAATGTGAACATAATGTCAATTCTACCATATTCTCTAATGAACATTTTCTTGTGTTCCTAGACTCACTGGTGATGATCCTAAATGCCACAGATGCAGATGAACCAAACCATCAGAACTCTAAAATTGCCTTCAAAATAGTTTCTCAGGAACCTGCAGGCATACCCATGTTCCTCCTAAGCAGAAACACCGGGGAAGTCCATACTTTGACCAATTCTCTTGACCGAGAGGTACAGCAAGGCACTTGGGGAACATTCACAGATGAAGGGTTTGACTGTGGGAAAAGTAACTTCTTTTCACCTGAGAATAAAAGAACCAAAAGGAAAAGAAGTTTCCAATACTCAATTGGGCCAATCTAGGGAAACTGCATTCCGGAGTGTGATTCCGGTGGGGTGGGATGTATGCCTGGCATCTGAACAATCAACTGTAGCTTAAACATACCCGTGGAAGTTACAGTGGGGGGGTGGAGTAGGCGTTGGCATACATGGACAAAGACTCAGCTGTGACTAATACCTCATATAAGGGGGAAAAGAAAATTTCTTAGATGAAGGGAGAAATTTCTAGCTGGAATAAAGTCCTCTTTGATGTCACACTTCTCCTGACTCCTCCTTTTCATTTACTTCTGCTTCTGGAACACTAACGAATCTCCTTCCTCTCTTCTCTCCATACCTGCCACCACCTTCTGTCTCCATCACTATGGGCTACACTGCCAAACTCCATATTACTCCATATTATGAAACTCACCAAAGAGAAAACTTGCTGTAGCCCCCTAAAGACCTCCACCATCAGAGTCCCACGTGCCCCTATATATGAACTAGAATATTTTCACCTCCTTACCCATAGGAAGCAAATAGCTTCCATTCATATTCTTGGAGATTAATTTTTTTTTTTCCTCCACATGTAGCAAGTTAGCAGCTATCACCTGGTTGTGAGCGGTGCTGACAGAGATGGAGAAGGACTTTCAAGTCAATGCGAGTGCAGTATTAAAGTGAAAGACGTCAACGATAACTTCCCAATGCTTAAGGACTCTCAGGTACACCACTGCTCCTGTGTCATTTTTATATATACTTAATATTTGCCATTCCCATTCAGTATTTACCTGTCTGTTAGCTTTTCCTTAAGTTCTCTGAAAAAAAAAAAAAACTTTTTTGAAATGTAAGAATCCAGAAACCAGCAAGAAGACATTACATACTTTGAGAAATAATAATTAATGCCATTCAGAAGAAATATAATTCCTTTAGGTAGAACCTGGCATTGAGTCTTAAATTCTACTTCTTTCTTTTTCAGTATTCAGCACGTATTGAGGAAAACACTTTAAGTTCTGAATTACTTCGATTTCAAGTAATAGACTGGGATGAAGAGTACACAGATAATTGGCTTGCTGTGTATTTCTTTACCTCTGGGAATGAAGGCAATTGGTTTGAAATACAAACTGATCCTAGAACTAATGAAGGCATCCTCAAAGTGGTTAAGGTAAGGTCTGATGGCTCTTCATTAGTTTAAAAAAAATTGATATTAACCAAAACTATTATTTTTACAAATAAAATTTATTTACTTATTAATAATAATATCACTTCATTATAGAAAACTTAGAAAACATAAAAATAAGCGGGGCTCGGTGGCTCAGCCTGTAATCCCAGCACTTTGGGAGGCTGAGGCGAGTGGATTGCCTGAACCCACAGGTTCGAGACCCGCCGGGGCAACTTGGCAACTCTACAATAAATCAAAAATTAGCTGGGCATGGTAGCGCGCGCCTGTAGTTCCAGGTACTTGGAAGGCTGAGGCGGAAGGATCTCCTGCCCCACAGGTCAAGACTATGGTGGCCATGAGCGTGCTACTGCACTCCAGCCTAGGTGACAGAGTGAGACTCCAACTCAAAAAAACATGTTGGTGTATTATTTTTCCAATCTACTGTACTTTCTATAGTAAACAAAAACACACTAATATACCACGAGTGTGCATACTTTAAGTACATACTAACATATCATTGGGTGTGCATGGTTTAAGCACGAGAAAGCAGGGCACATTCCTTGACTTAATCTCATTCACTATCTATAATTGGATTGAAGTTAGAATAAGATAATACATGGAACTGTGCCTTGCAAACTTGTCAACCTGTTTTATATGGATTACCTACCATCAACAGAGGAAAAGAATTACAACTTGTCCTATAAAATGGGAATATATGAACAAAATCTGCTAAATAAAAAAGTAAATAATTGAGTAAAGCTTCCATGTAACATGTTTGACTACCACAGGCTTTATATCTGGAAATATATGACGATATTTCTGCCTGAGTACGGTATAGACTGGAAGAAATACCACTTTTAGGAAACATTCCTTGGCAAAGTACTTTGGATTCTATGGGAGCCTCTTTAATTTCTTGAGTCCAGTGGAGTGATAGACTCATAAAATTCCTATAACGAGAGGTCTGCTGAAGCTGTGCATACAATTCCTGGTTCTTCCACTTTTCACAGCACTATAGCCATCCCTACTGCAAGGGTTTTGTTATGAACTCCCAGCAATGCCTGGGAATGAGCTATTCTCTCTCTCGTGTACTGACAGCATTCGCTCTCCCAAACTAGAAACCTGGATCTTGCCCTTGAATCGTGGCATTTCCGCACAGCATATAGCCAGTCATTGAATTCTGCCCTAGAAATTGTCTGTGAAGTCTGACCCTCCTGTCCCTTCTTGCTGCCTGTGTTCTAGCCCGGCTTGGCCTCTTCTCTCCTAGATGATCACAATACCTCCGAACAAATGTCCCTACCTCTTATCTCTATCAACCTTGTCCTCCTCACTCTCGCAAGTTCACTACCATATTTTTCTTCAAGCAATGTCAATCACCTATGCTTCTCCTCAACACCGTCTCCGGTTCTCCATTGTCCGTGAAAGTGGCCCCCCAAACCTAATTGCCAACGCAAGTCACCTGCAACTTTTCCTAGACAGTGGAGATGTGAGGACTATGGGTTTAACTGGCCTGTGGAGAAGCCAGCAGCAGCGGGACTTCAAGACCCCTCAGAAGGCTCTCATATGTAGCCAGGTTTGCTGATTCCCCGCTGACCTCTCAGATGAAGTTCTTTGTCCTCACAACTGCACACAAAGCCCACTCTGCAGTCAGCCTACTCCCTATCACCTTCTGTAACTCAGTATTTGCAAGTACTCTCACCTATGCTTGAATGAGTTCTCAGCATCCTTCACCACTTAGCTCATCCTTCCCTAACTCTCTCAAGTAGAATTAGCCCCTCACTTCCACACACAGACCCTATAATCTCTTTTGTCTCTGACCCCTTGTATTATGGTTACCGGTTTCGACATCTGTCTCTTCCACTCCTCTGGGAAATGCTGGAGCACACAAAGCCAATCATGCATGGCAAAGTTGCAACTTAAATCCAAATCTCTCACCTGAAGTATTTTTAGTGACATATAAATGTAACGAAAAAGAACATTTCTTTATCTCATCATCCTGAAAATAATTGCTACTAGTGAATGAAAAAAAGCTATTCTGGTTTTCCTCAGGCCTTGAGGTGGGCCACCTCAATAAGAGGGTTAAGCCCAAATAGTTATCATGCAAAACCTTCTGATAATCATTCACAAAGAGTCAGTGGGCCATCCATGCACTGCTTTGGAGAGGCCTACTTGTCAACCAAGATTATTAAGATGATTTGTCTTTGCCACGTATGAGTTTTTAAAGTTAGAAGAGACATTACTGCACATGAACCTGATGAATATTCTGTGAATGACCAAGGCTGCCAGTTATAGGAGCTAGGTCAACTTTGTATCTCTGTTCTTGGCAGGTGGTAATCTATGTATCATGTTGTGATAGTTTATAGCTTAAAACTACATCAAGAAATAAGATATTGGGCTGGGTATAGTGGCTCAAGCCTGTAATCCCAGCTCTTTGGGAAGCCTTAATTTGTTCAGTTCTCATTACACTTTGGTGAGGTAAGGTTTTTGTTTTTGTTTTTTCAGAAATGAATAGTTGAGGATCAGAGAAATTGAATGTTGTGCCCTGAGTCACACAGTTATTAAATAGTAGAACCAGGATTCAAACCATGTTACCATAGCAAACTTGGGTGGGGTTTTTTTGTTTGTTTGTTTTCTTTTTTTTTTTGAGTCAGAGTATCAGTGTCACCCAGGCTGGAGTGCAGTGGCACACTCACGGCCACTGCAGCCGCAATCTGCTGGGCTCAGGCGATCCTTCCACCTCAGCCTTTCAAGTAGCTGGAACCACAGGCACACACCACCACACTCGGCTAATTTTTTTTATTTTATTGTAGAGGCGAGGTCTCACCAAGTTGCCCAGCCTTGTCTCGAACCCCTGGCCTCAGGCAATCATCTCACCTCCACCTCCCAAAGTGCTGGGATTGCAAACATGAGCCACCTCACCTGGCTGAGATTTTTTTTTTAACTGCACCTCATAACCTAAAGAGTCTATAATAATATTTTGCTGTTCTAAAAAGAGATCCCCTGCTTTGTAAATATCAGTTACCAAATTGAGGTCTCATTAGTTAAGAATCCTAAAGCTTTCTCTATCTCAAAATTATAATGATTTCTAAAACTGTTTTTGCTATATGAAAACAAGAGAATCCTGTCCATAGAGTTCTCCTCTACTCTACTGGTTTTGTGGGATTGTATATTTTGTGACACTTCCTTCCTTCTAATTTTATTTTTTGCTCCAGCCTCTAGATTATGAACAACTGCAAAACATACAACTTGGCATTGCTGTCAAAAACAAAGCTGAATTTCACCAATCAATAATCTCTCAATATCGAGTTCAGTCAACCCCAGTCACAATTCAGGTAATAAATGTAAAAGAAGGAATTGCATTCCGTCCAGCTTCCAAGACATTTACTGTGCAAAAAGGCATAAGTAGTAAAAAATTGGTGGATTATGTTGTGGGAACATATCAAGCCATCGATGAAGAGACTGGCAAAGCTGCCTCATATGTCAAGTAAGACTTTTTATGATACCTTATTTCTTTTTTTATTTTTCTGTAGAGACAGGGTCTCACAATGTTGCCCAAGCTGGTCTCGAATTCTTGGCCTCAAGTAATCCTCCCCACTTGGCCTCCCAAAGTGCTGGCGTGAATCACTGGGCCAGGCTTGATATGTTATTTATTGATATAGTTTTAGTCTATAAACTATTACAACATAACACATAGACTATTATGTGCCAAAGATAGAGACACAAAGTTGACAAAAACAAGAAACTGGGTAACTCAAGAAGTGACACTTAACTAAATCATTAGAATCTACTGTTATGAGCAAAGACAGCATAAATATAAGTTAAGATAGAATGACTTAGCCTATCAAGAAGATCAGGTAAAAGGTTTGTGGAAACTTCCAACTGAGTCTTACAAAAGAGTAGAAGTGCACCAGTGAATCATATGAAATAGCACATACAAAGCTACATGAGGGCAGACCCCAAAACAAGGAATTTATTTTTTTAACAGTGTGTTTATTCCTACATGTTTAAACTTCAGTCACCTTCAAAGTACTCTCTGTTTGATGCAATACACCTGTAGAGATGCTTTTCCCACTGCTCAGAACAGTTTTTGAACTCGTCAGTTTGGATGCCTTTTAGTGCTTTGGCCATTTCTTGTTTCACCTCTTCCACATCAGCAAAATGTTTCTCTCTGAGGACTTTTTTCATTCAGGAAAACAAAAAACAAAAGTCTCTTAGGGCATGATCAGGTGAATAGGGAGGGTGAGACACATGGCTCATGCTGTTCTTGGTCAAAAATTACTGAACATTCAGTGAGGTGTGAGCAGATTGTTCATGTAAATCACCCATCATGAAATGGGTAAAGCATTGAAAGAATCTCAAAAAAAAAAAAAAAAAATTCACTGAAGTCAAACGCAGCATCTCACAACAATGATAGTTTGTACACTGATGCTGATGGGTTTCTAGAACACTTACCTAGCCAGGGAAGCCTGTACTACACGAGGACTGTCCTCCAAAAAATAATTCCAGGTTTTGGGTCCCCTCTCATATATGCCTAAAATATCAGCACCCCATGCAAAATAATTACTATATTGTAAAGACCAGAGACACAGCATTTTATTTTATTGTGCAGAGTAGAACTGAAAAGCCAGACTAATATACACTAAAGGATTATGATACATTGTTCATCCATGCTATGATAATTTTCTGTTACTTTTGTAAACGCATATTTAAATTTCTTTTATAAGTATAAATAAGTATAAAATGAGTCATTTTCATTAAATATGCAATATTCCATATTCGAAAGGAAACTATTAATTTTTTCTGTTATAAAACAGATACATTATGGGACGTAACAATGGTGGTTTCCTAACGATTGATTCAAAAACTGCTGAAATCAAATTTGTCAAAAACATGGATCGAGATTCTACTTTCATAGTTAACAAAACAATCACAGCTGAGATTCTGGCCATAGATGGTAAGAAAAACATTTTAATCATTTTTAGAGAAATGTTATTCCAACTGGCATTTCTTCATGCATAGAAGCTTATAATTGTTTGACGTATTATCTTTATCATTAAAGATAATTATCTTAGGAGGTTTGGGTCTCAAGTCTGAAGCAACTGAGTCGCGGAGAGAAGACTGAGAGTTCCAACTTCTAAGTGGAGTTTATAGTACCAGTGAATTCTGTGTTCAGTCCCTATGACTTGCTATAGTTGAGGAAGAAATTGTTTGGCCTATGGGAATTCCTGGGTTTGAGAGGATGGGTAAACATTCATAGAGAAAGTCTACCAGGGAAGCTCAGCTCAAATGTGAGGTGTTTTTGTGAGATACCTACAAAGACCTCATGTACTTAGGGTTAGGGTTAGGGTTAGGGTACTTATATCATTGAACAATAAAATTTTTTCTTCTGAAATATTTTAAAATAATATTCACTGAGTGTGTGTTTGCCAGGTAGAATATTAACTTATGTTTAAGGCAATAAACAAACACACCTAAAAAACATAGGGGAAAAAAAGTTAACATTTGGGAAAACAGAAAAATAAAGGTAACAACAGAAATGACTCATTATTCCACCATAGAAAGACTTTTATTTTATTGTTTTTGATTGTCAGAATTTAAAATTTTTCTTCAATACACTTTTATATCTTGGGTAATAAAAATATATAATTGTTTATTCTAAACACTTTGTCTCACACATTAGAAGCAAAACTGTTTTGCACATTGATTTCAATTAAAATCAACACATTTAAAAGAGCTATTAATTTTGTGTTGATTTCACTTGTAATCAGTGAATTCAACACCTTATAGAACTTGGTTTTAAGCATATTAGATTAATAGCCAGTGCTACTAACTAGAGACACCGGCCAACTTGGTAATTTATATTTGTTTTTCAGAAGATGTAGAAATAGAATGACTTTTTTTTAACTTCTGAGAATAATATAATTTCTCATGAGAAGACACACTAACCTAGCTATATAAAAGAAATATGAGTCTCCTTTTTTTGTACAACTTTGATCTTTCTTTAACTCTGGAATGTTATTCTTACAGGAAACACAGGCAGAACTTCTACAGGCACCATATATGTTGAAGTACCCAGTTTTAATGAAAATTGTCCAACGATTGTCCTTGAAAAGGAAATCATTTGCAGTTCATCGCCTTCCGTGGTGGTTTCCGTCAGAACACTGGATAGAGGGAAATATACCGGCCCCTACACATTTTCCCTGGAGAAGCAACCTCTAAAGTTGCCAGTTGTGTGGAGTATCACAACACTCAATGGTGAGCAGTAGTAAATTGCTTCTATAAATGCAAATTGCTCCTTCTGTACATGTCCAGAAAGGTAATAGAGCTCATCAAAGAACAGGTCCTTCCCAAGGGTAATTAAGAAAATTATGTGCAATGAAGATGTGGTTGCAGCCTTGTGGATTTTTTCTGTCTTCATGAGAGATATGAATGATAAGACATAGGGTTATTACCTTGTATATTTTCTGTTTTTAATATTTTGGGCTTTCGTTTAATATTTTAAGTATGTTTATTTCTACCTCCATAGTGCACACACAAAAAGATTACAGTCAGGCATCTATTTTATCACAGAGCTGTTAGATTTCTAAATACATAAACTTCTCCTAACTGTGCAGTCTGTAAGCAGACACAAAGCATGGAAAAGTCCTGCTCAATGATCATAGGAAGTACCACTTAAATTGTTACTAGTCCAGAACCTTGAGAGCATGGTGGACTGAAATTTGCAAACCAATTAGTCCACAGGGAAGAACTAATCCATCCTGGCCTATTTTAATACTTATTTTATACTGCCTGTTTTTCATAAGTCTCATAGAAATAGACATTAGACTTAATACAAATCTCCATCCTTTCTGGATTTTATAGTGACCCTCAGACCACTTTAAATTATTTTTAAACTAACTCACTTCTCCTGACTCTTTTCTGAAGTAACCTTGCTTCCTTGCATGCTCTTTTTTTTTCAAGTTGGAATCTCACTCTGTCCGTCCAGGCTGGAGTACAGTGGCACGCTACCACCACCCCAGTGTCAAACTGCTGGGCTCTGGCGATCCTTCCACCTCAGCCATCCAAGTAGTCAGAACTACAGGCACACACTACCAGGCCCGGCTAATATTTTGATTTATTGTAGAGATGAGTTCTCACCAAGTTTCCCAGGTTTTTCTTGACCCGTGGGCGCAGGCAATCCCCTTACCTTGGCTTCCCAAATTGCTGAGATTACAGGCCACCGCCCCCGGCCATGAATGTTCTTCATGGTACCCTTCCGTCCTTAGTATCAGACATTGCCAGAGTTACCAAAGGGATCTTATTCTCCATGGCCATCTTCCCTTGGACCTTTCTGATCCTGGTGTAAAGATCTAGCTCCAAACTATGCACCAGATAACGGCCAATGAAGAGGCTGCTAAAGAAAGATCAGAGAGGGTGAGGACATGGCACTAGACATACGTGGCCCAGGTGAGGCTGAGCAGGGGAACAATGGTTGGACTAAGTGGGTAAGGCAATATGTCAAAGGACATGGCGGAATCAAAAATGACTCAAGCCACACAACATTAATATTTCTCAGAGCTACTGTGGGAGCCCACACAGAAAAAGCCAACGTAGTAATAGAGAATGGAGAACAATCTATGCTCAAGATTCAGATATGCAACAGGCTGTCACCACAAGGGACTCCCATACAATAGGCCTTCAGTTTATGGAATGAGAACTTACAGAAGAAGTTGAGGCGGCAGCAGCCAAAGCTGAAACTCAGTCTTGATAAGTCAGACACAAGAACAGAGAGTCGAGGGAAGACATACACTCAGAGGGCCATACAAGCCTAAAGACTGGTGCAGACTACAAGAGAGTGGTTAAGCCCCAGACGTGGGGGGTCCTGACATTCAAATGATACCTGCCTCCCATTCTCTTTAGTGAGAAAAGCAGAGTAGAACTAATTTTCAGGGGGGAGAATAAGAGGCCCACCTGGGGAAGAGAAAGAGACAAGCAAGGTGATAGGTATAGACAGATTTACCCACTTGAACCCCTTATAGCCCTCATCACAGCTCAGACCTCACTCTACTATCAGCCCTGCTATTTGTGACAACCCTAGCGGTGCTAACAAAAATAAGTAGCTTTAAGAGTACGAGACACTGCTGTAGTTTGAAAGCATCCCCCAAAGTTCATGTGTTGAAAACGTAATCCCCAATGTGACAACATTAAGAGGTGGGACGTGTAAGAGGTGATTAGGTCATGAGGGCTCTGCCCTTATGAATGGATGTATGTCATTACCACCGAAGTGGGTTCATTCTCCTGAGAGTGGGTTGTTATGAAGACAAGGTCAGCCCCCACTTGCTCTCTTGTGCCCTCCCACCTTCCACCATGGGATAATGACATTCAAGGGCCTTTGTCAGATTCTGGCACCTTGACATTGGACTTCCCAGCCTCCAGAACCATGAAAAATAAACTTTTTTTTTTTTGAGTTGGAGTCTCACTCTGTCGCCCAGACAAGCGCAGTGGCCGCTCCCGGCCACCGCAGCCGACCTGCTGGGCTCTGGCTATCCTTCCGCCTCAGCCTTCTGAGTAGCCGGAATTACAGGCATGCGCTGCTACGCCCGGCTGATTTTTTGATTTATTGTAGAGATGAGGTCTCGCTGCCCAGGTAGGTCTCGAACCCACGGGCTCAGGCAATCCACTCACCTCAGCCTCCCAAAGGTGCAGGATTACAGGCTGAGCCACCAAGCCCGGTTCAAAAATAAACTTCTTTATAAATTATCCAGTCCATGGTATTCTGTGATAGCAATATAAAGCAGACACCTTGCCCTACTCTAGTTTGTATGACTGTTTCTCTACAGCTACCTCGGCACTCTTGAGAGCCCAACAAGAGATATCTCCTGGAGTGTACCGAGTCTCCTTGGTGGTTACGGACAATCAGAACAATATCTGTGAAATGCCAGAGAGTTTGACTCTGGAAGTCTGCCAGTGTGACAACAGGGGTATCTGCAGAAGTTATAAGCCAAACAGGGACCCTGAGATCAAGTATGGGAAGCCACCCTCGGGGAGGCTGGGACCTGCTGCCATTGGCCTGCTGCTCCTCGGTCTTCTACTGTTGCTGTGTGAGTATGCCAGTGCTTCATTCTCTGTTGGATGGGGTGTCCTCATTTGCAAAGGACTCGCTGCTGCCCTACTCATCTGTGCAATGTGGGAAGAACCATTCTCTGTGGTTTTATAGGTAAAACTAAGGCGAAGCGGCATTTTCAGGAAGAATCTGAAATGTTTAACTTGTTACTTGCTAACAATATATACATATTTTGAGATGGGGGTCTCACTTTATAGCCTAGGCTGGAGTGCAGTGGCACAATCATGCTCACTGCAGCCTTGAACTCCTGGACTCAGGTGATCCTTCCACCTCAGCCTCCCGAGTAGCTAGGACTACAGGTGTACATCACCACCCCGGTTAGTTTTTTTGATTTTTTGTAGAGAAGAGGTTTGTTTATACCTGGGCTCAAGCAATCCTCCTGCCTTGGCCTTCCAAAGTGCTGGGACTACAGGTATGAGCCACTGAACCCAGCCAACAATCTATAATAATACAGCAAAGCAAGTCATATATATATCAGAAACCTAGAAATAGCACAAGATAATCAAGAGGGAAAAGAATAAATCATGAAGACCCTTTATATGTTGCCAGTAATTCTTATGGTCAAAATTATGGCCTCATCCATGACTATGGCACTTTCTTTGATGTTTTCTCCATATTCAATTTTCCTGAGATTCTAAGATTCCCAGATAAACAGAAAAATATGTAAAGGATATCATAATACACATTAATGTAGTGTAGGCCTTGAGAAGTTATTGTATAATTCAATATTTTCTCAAAATAGGTGACTACCTGAATATGCTTCCTCTTTAAGACCTTCACATTTAATATGATTAAGTTTATTGAACACATTTAGGAAAACCAAACATAAGCATTATTTTTTGAAAAAAGTAAAATTTATTTTATTCAATAGATAGATTTCTGAAAAGTTGCATTTGAAACAAAATCTTGTGAATCAAGTAGCATTTTAAATGTAAGAGGTCTCTTTTTAAAATAGCTTCCTGGAGAATTCTTGTATAAATAGGAGAAATCCTTGCTAACTTCACAGTCACTTCTCTCATTTATTATAAAATCATAGACTTTTAGAGTTAAATTAATTTTTTGAATGATCAAAAGATCAAACTCTTTATTCAATTTTTTTAATTTATGAAAATGTTAAAACCACAAAAAGTTGAGAACATGACAAGTACACATATAACTATCACTTAAATTTAATGAATATTAATGGTTTGTCATTTTTTTTTTTTTTTAAGATGTGGGATACAGTTCAGGATTAGGTATACAAATGGTCATTACTCAGGTACCCTTGTTGATGAGGTGTGCCCCCACTCCCAACTCTGGAAGTTTCCCACTATATTTTTTTAAAGTTTTTTCTTAAAGTTCTCTTTTTTAAAAAGAGAGAAACAAATTGTTATAGACACATCTAGTGGCCTCCCCCACCACCCAATACTTTTCCCTTTCTCCTTCCCCTAAAATATTTGCAATTCTTCTTTTTATTTAAGCTGGGCTTGGTGGCTCAGCCTGTAATCCCGCGCCTTTGGGAGGCTGAGGTGAGTGGATTGCCTGAGCCCGCGGGTTCGAGACCTGCCTGGGCAATTTGGCGAGACCTCATCTCTACAATAAATCAAAAATTAGCCGGGCGTGGTAGCGCACGCCTGTAGTTCCAGCTACTTGGAAGGCTGAGGCGGAAAGATCACCAGAGCCCAGCAGGTCAAGGCTGCGGTGGCCAGCAGTGGCCACTGCACTCCAGTCTGGGCGACAGAGCGAGACTCCAACTCAAAAAAAAAAAAAAAAATTTGTATCATATTAGTCAACTTCAACCACAAAGATTTTTCAAGCACCTCTATGTAAGTCTCTATGCTGGCCTTCAGCTGAAAAGGAAACTTGAATCTGGTTTTCATACAGTTCACAGACCTATGTATGTCCAACTCTATGGAAAAAAGATCATATAGATACGAAAAGTTTGTGATAGCGTTATATTAAAATTTTCCATGATAAAGTTATGCAAGAAATGACTACATAGGGGTATTGCAGAAAGCTTCACAGAATAGGGGAATCCTTCAGTTGAGCCTTGGAGGATGAGTAAGATGTAAGAAGCATAAAAACAGAAAAAGGTATGTCCAAAAAGTAGCAACAAGAGCCAAAGCCAGAAAACACTTAGCATGTTTTAGGAATCACACAGCCTTGGACACCTAAAGCATGGGAAAACTTTGGAAAGGGAAGGTGATACGGAGAATGTGTTGGACTTAATTTGAAAGGCTTGCTGAGGCTTGTGTACTTTCATCTATAAGAAAGGAGAGTTACTGAAAGTGTTTGAATAAAAGATTAACATGATCGCCAGGCATGGTGGCTCACAACTGTAATCTCAGCACTTTGGGAGGCAGATGCGAGAGGATTGCCTGAGCCCAGAGGTCCAAGAGCAGCCTGGGCAACTTGGCGAGACCTTGTCTCTACAATAAACCAAAAAAGTTAGCCAGGCGTGGTGGTGTGTGCCTGTGGTTCCAGCACTTGGAAGGCCGAGGCAGAAGGATCACCTGAGCCCAGTAGGTCAAGGCTGTGGTGGACATGGGCATGCCACTGCACTCCAGCCTGGGCAACAGTGAGACTCTGACTCAAAAAAAAAAAAAAAATTAACATGATCATATCTGTATTTTAGAAAGACAACTCTGGCAACAGTGTGTACTGTAAATTAGAAAGGAAAGAGCACGTGAGAGTTTATTTTAATAGTTCCAAGAGAGGAGATGGAGATCAGATTTAGAGTCATGATGTGAGACTGGAAAGGAAAAGATAGCTTTGTGAGACATTACTGGGGCACCTGTTCAAGATTTGGAGACTAACTGCTATGATCTGAACGTGTGTGTCTCCCCAGAATTCTTATGTGAAAACTTAAACCCCAACACAATAGTATTGAACAGTAGGGCCTTTCGGAGGTGATCAGATTGTGAGGGCTCTGCCCACATGAATGAGATCAGTGCACTTTTAAGAGAGGTTTGAAGGGGCCTGTGTGTCCTCTGCCTTGTGAGGACACAAAGAAGGCCCTCATCAGACGCCAAATCTGCTGGTCACTTGATCTTGGACTTCCCATATTCCAGAACTGTGAGTAATAAACTTATAGTGTTTATAAATTACCCAGTCTAAGGTATTTTTGTTATAACAGCCTGAATGGACTAAGTCATGGATAGCAAGAGCAGAAAAGAAGCCCAGATGAAACCCAGAAGTCTATATTTGACAGTCAATGGGTACTGAAGCTATTAAATAAAATAGAAAATATCAGAGGAAACACAGAAGTGTAGGGTGGCAGTAATGAATCTGATTTTGAAATGTGTCATTTTGAAGTGTGAGGTATGTCCTGTAGGCCATTAACACTTGGGATTCTGGCTCAGAATGGCAATCAGAAGGAATATATTGTGCTATTCCCACAATAATATTTGCTTCATGATGATAGTACCATTTGCAAAATGCCACATTTCAAGTTTCACGTGTCATAGAACATATCTTTTTCAGACTATAGAGATACACTCCACAGTTTGAAAAACTTTCTCTGAATATGTATAAAAACCCAAATATGCATTGTACATACAATGATAGGTAAGATTTATAAAAGATTATTATGTCCATCTAAAAATACTGACCACTCAGGTTTATGTTCATCACCTTCCAAACTATTTTGTCAGCTCATCATGTTCAAGCTTTCTCACAAAGTCATAGAATTAAAGATGGTAATAGAGAAAATCTTTAGCAGTATCATTTATATGAGCATTATATTAAAGTTTGAAAAACCATATTCATTATATTCAACTATTTTATACACTTGTTCTAATTTTTTCATATTATATATAAGACTGACCTATTTTGCATAACTAATATACCCCATCCTAACAATACTACTAGCAAATACTCATGGCACCCATTACTGTCTGTTACCAATGTTAACTCATTTAATCCTCACAATAACCTATAATGCAGATACTATTTATTCCGCCATTCTATGGGCTGATTAACTGAACAAATAAAGATGACATAACTGCCCAGTGTCACATAGCTGGTTATGGAGGAGCCAAAATTCAAACCCTAGAAATCTGACTCTGACAGCTGTGCTCTTAAACCCCTTGCTAAGCTCCCTCTAAATGAACATAGTTCAAACATAAAGTTTGAGGAGGCCTTGGCAGGCCAGAGGTGATCATGAAATCACTAACAGTAGAGTGTGTAAGATACCTGTTTTCAAGACTGAGTATCTCTTTTGGTTCATTAACATGAGAATGACATTGCTCTTTATTGCCAAACATACGCACAGAAAAAGGACATTTACACTAGCAGGAAAGCCCCCTCCAATCTCAAGTCTCAATTAAGGGATTCTTTAGTCACAATTAAGAGTGAACTGACCAGGTTTGGCGGCTCAAGCCTGTAATCCCAGCACTTTGGGAGGCTAAGCAAGAGGACTGCCTGAGCTCGGGGTTCGAGACTAGCCTGGGCAACTTGGAGAGACCTCGTCTCTAAAATAAAAAATAAAAAAATAAGCTGGGCATGGTAGCGCGTGCCTGTAATTCCAGCTACTTGGAAGGCTGAGGTGGAAGGATTACCTGAGCCCAGCAGGTCGAGGCTGCCGTGGCTGTGAGCATGCCACCGCACTCCAGCCTGGGCGACAGAGTGAGACTCTGACTCAAAAAAAAAAATGAACTGATAGCCATGTATTAGGTTATCACTCTAGTTACTGGGTTTGCTGATTAATTACTGCTTGCTAAGAGCTAATTAGAGATCAGATGACTCAAATATTAACATGCCCATCTAAAATCTTGAGCATGCAGCTCATATATTCAGCTGTGGGTCCACCTGACAAAATACACAGAGCCCCAACATGAACAAATAAATGCAAAAATCATAAAAAGAATTTTAAGGAAAGGATTGGGGAGCCAAACAATGACCTTTATCAAACACCAAACAGTCCCTATGTCAAGACAACACTATACATACAAGAAACGGTTCAATCTGTCTCCTTCAGTTTCATAATCAAATAAAACTTTAGTGTGCTTGTTTACAAATTTTAATTTGTAGAAACTAATTTTGCTTTTCGTTAGGAGTTTTCCACAAGTATTTGAAATATTGTTATTTTCCTTCTAACATTTCTGACCGTTGTCAAATGGTTTCCAAGTGATTCCAATGTTTGTTTCTCACTAGTGGCTCCCCTTCTGCTGTTGACCTGTGACTGTGGCACGACCGGGGTAGTGCCAGGGCATTTTATCCCAGTTCCTGATGGCTCTGAAGGAACAATTCATCAGTGGGGAATCGAAGGAGCCCATCCTCAAGACAAGGTAAGCACCCAGTTTTTTTTGAGTATTTGTTTGGATTTTGGTTTTTTTGTGGGCACTTAGCATGTTGTTAGAAAAATATTTATTTCATATGTAGAGAAAACATTTCATTGATATTCAGATAGGAATAGGGGAAGAGGGGCATAAAAATAAGAGATTTCTTGATCCTCAGTTTGAGAGTCAGTGCTGAAGTGGGTGGAGGCTTTTAGTATTTTACTTCTTCAAATGTCAAATGATAGAAATGGTTACTTCTGCAAAAATTTGGGCTTCTTATAAAGTTATCGTTTGCAAAAGGCTAAATTTATCTATATTGCTCTGAAATGCATTTATTCTTCAAACATGGTTTGCAGGAAATCACAAATATTTGTGTGCCACCAATAACAACCAATGGAGGCGATTTCATGGAAAGTTCTGGTAAGTGAACATCAAATTTATTTTCGAAAGCAATGGTGATTGTAAGAAATATTCAGACATAAGAAGTGTTCAAAATTATTTTCTTAACAATTTGCACCTGTGTGCACACATCAAGAGTTGTTACCACCAAAATGAAGAAAGGCAGTTTTAATATTTGCATATTAGTCAATTTCATGACATACGTCTGGCTTCAGTGAATCAATGTATCTGCTGATACCACAGTTTTCGATATCTGAAGATTTGTTATACTTTTTCCAAACTTTAATAAACTGAAGTATAACTCTCAGGCAATCAATTACTAATTTTTTTCATTAGAAAAGACAGAAAAATGTAGAAAAATGTAAAGTAAAACACAACAAATATCTACATATCCACCATCCAACTTTGTCTGTTCTTAACATTGGTCACATTTGCAGTTGAAGTCTCTTGTGCACATCCTCAATCCTATTCCCCTTCTCCCTTCCCTAACACTAAGAGTATCCTGATTTGAGATCAGTTATCAATTCTTACACCATAATGGGACATAGTCACTTAAGTTATCACACAGGTGAATTTGTTTATTTCTTTGGTTTTACCAAGTGATTATTTTATTAATATTATCTCAATGCCACAGCTATGCAGTAAACAGAAGGAACAGCTGATGCCTAAAATTAAAATTTTTCCTAATTCCATATTTAGCAGTAGATTATTTTTGTGTCCAGCCTGCAAAATTTGTACGAGAGTTCCCCAAATATATAACTGTCTGCCTTTATCAGCTACTCCAATCTGTACCTGCTTTTCCCATTATAATTGCAAAGCAAGAACTATATTAAAATTCTCTAAAAAAATAAGTTTCCATGAGCACATAATATAAAGGTAACAGGCTAAATAGTCAGGATGCCAAGACACCAAATTAGCATCTGCTCATTTGCACGATTACATTATGTGTTTCCTCCTCGTTTTCATATTGAGCCAACATGACTGCTATTAACTATCATTTTTTTCATGAAAACAAACAAGCATTCATTGCATTAGAAGCATCCTATGGGTGTGTGCTGAATATTCTGTTTTTAATTTTCTATTTCTGGCTGTTGTCACTGAAAATCTATTTCTTTGTGCACTTAATGAGTATGTCATTAGAGCTTTTTCATCCGTTTTTTGTTTTTTTGAGTTGAGATCTCACTCTGTTATCCAGGCTGGAGTGCAGTGGCCTGATCATGGCTCCCCACAGCCTCAACCTCCTGAGCTCAGACAATCTTCCCATCTCAACCTCCCGAGTCGCTGGGACTATAGGCTCACAGATGAAAATAACCACACCTGGCTAACTTTTTGATTTTTTAATAGAGACAGGATCTCACTATGTTGCCAGGTTGGTCTCGAACTCCTGGCCTCAAGCAATCCTCCAGCCTCAGCCTCCCAAACTGCTGGGATTACAGGCATAAGCCACCACGCCCAGTCTTTTTCATCTGTTAATGTTCTCCCCTCTATTACTCTCACATAACACACTATGGAATGTTCTTAACACCTCTAGTCATAGAGTTGTATCTTCTCCCGCTTCCTTGTTTTACATGGTGACTGCTCATGGACTTCAGATACCAGTTTGTGTGTGTGTGTTTTTTTTAAATGCAACAAATAACAGAATAAGATGTCACAGAATTTTCTCCCTTGTTTTTAGAAGTTTGTACAAATATGTATGCTGGAGGGACGGTGGTAGAAGGTGCTTCGGGAATGGAAATGACCACGAAGCTTGGAGCAGCTTCCGGATCTGGAGGTGCTGCAGGCTTTGCAGCAGGAACAGTCTCCAGCGCCGCTGCAGGATTCGGAGCAGCCACTGGACTTGGCATCTGTCCCGCGGGGCAGTCAGGAACCATGAGAACAAGGCATTCCACAGGAGGGACCAATAAAGACTATGGTAATGGGGCAATAAGCATGAGTTTCCTGGAATCCTACTTCTCTCAGGTAATTTGGTAGAAATCTTTGTGGTTTTGTTATTGTCTTTACATTGGAGATCTTTTTACTTGATTACATGCTTCGGTTTGGCAGTTAAATTTTTTTTACTGCTTGTTAAAATGTAAGGGAAAAAAAGAGGTTTCTCATTTGCCGAAATAATAGAGGTGGCTGTCACAATGGGGTCACTGATCAAAAAGAAGATTGTGTCTGCCGGGCGCAGAGGCTCGTGCCTGTAATCTCAGCTACTCCAGAGGCTGAGGTGGAAGGACAGCTTGAAGCCAGGAGTTCAAGACAGCCTGAGCAACAGAGCGAGACATACTTCTCTACAAAAATTTAAAAATTAGTCAGACTTGGTGGTGCATGCCTATAGTCCCAGCCATTGGGAGACTGAAGTGGGAGGCTCACTTAAGCCCAGAAATTCGAGGCTGCAGTGAGCTACGATGGCATCACTACATTCCAGCCTCAGCAATTAAGCAAGACCCCACCTCTAAAAATTAATAATAATGACAATAATGTGGGGATTTTTTTTAAGTGAAAAAGCAGGATTTATTGAGAGGACAGAAAAGCTCCCATAGTGGAAGGGAACCCAAAGGGGTTGCCCCGACAATAATGTTTTTTAAAAAGAATAGACAAGCAGCCACAAAGTGAGAGCCTATAACAAGTAGCACTACATTCCTTCAACTAGAAAAACAACTGAGAGCAAATCTTTTATATTTGAGGATCAGCAGTATCCTCTTTAAGAATACAAAAAAGTTTATTTTGTATTTTGCATCATAAAGGATATGGAAAATCTGTGCATATATGTTCCTGAGAGAGGGTTACAGTATTCTTCACATTTTCAAAGGAGTCGATATCCAAAACATGTTGAAGAACCGTGTAATTAATGACCCAAAAATAAAAGGGGGAAGAAGGGATGGGACGGAGGATCCATGAGACGGGAGGAATGAAGTGTCAGGAAGCATAAAACAGAGAAGGAGCAAGCATGCAAAAACAGAGAAGACTTTGGGAGGCCAATTGTTTGCCTCTAGCTTGATGGCCAGGGATTAGTGGACCGAGAGGCAAGCTTACAATGGATCTCACAAAGAGTTCCGGTATCGAAACGGATAAGTGCCAGGGTCTGACCTAGTATCCAAGCAGATGAAGGCTGACATCGTGTTTGAGGAAAGACAGCAGCAGTGGGGAAAGGGGGTGAGGGGTGAGGCTTGGGGATGAAGATTCTTGGGATATTTCAAGGTGTGATGTGGGCTCTGGTTACAAGTTAGGTTCCCACAGGGTTTTATACAATCTAGGCAAAGGCCCTCTTCAGGGTAAGAGCTGCCTCAAATGGTGCACAAAAGGATTTCTCCCTTACCACCGCCTCATCACAAAGACATGCAGTAGCACAATCACGCATTGAGACCCTTACACTCAGTCCAGTGAATAACCTCCAGATGTCATACACGTTGTCTCTGTAGACCTAAATCCACATTAGTGCCTTCAACATCAAGAACTCAAACATAGCCGGGCTCGTGGCTCAGCCTGTAATCCCGTGCCTTTTGGAGGCTGAGGTGAGTGGATTGCCCGAGCCCGCGGGTTCGAGACCCGCCTGGGCAGCGAGACCTCATCTCTACAATAAATTTAAAAAAAAAAAAAAAATCAGCCGGGCGCGCAGCGCACGCCTGTAATTCCGGCTACTGGGAAGGCTGAGGCGGAAGGATTGCCGGAGCCCAGCAGGTCGAGGCTGCAGTGGCCGCTCCCGGCCACTGCACTCCAATCTGGGTGACAGAGTGAGACTCCAACTCAAAAAAAAAAAAAACTCAAACATAAGCGTAGACTAGACTCAACGTTGAGTTAATGTCAACCAGACTATTGTCCAAGCACCAGATAACTTTTTGAACAAGGTTGTTAGTACAAAGAGTATTTCCTGATAGGTATGGTGACTCACACCTATAATCCTAGAACTTTGGGAGGCTGAGAGGGGAGGATTGTTTGAGGCCAGGAGTTCAAGACTAGCCTGGGCAACAAAATGAAACCCTGTCTCTACAAAAAATAGAAAAATTAGCTGGGCGTGGTGGTGCATACCTATAATCCCAGCTACTCAGGAGGCTGAGGTGGGAAGATCACTTGAGCTCAGGAGTTGGAGGCTGCAGTGAGCAGTGATTGTGCCACCGCACTCCAGCCTGGCAACAGAGTGAGATCCTGTCTCAAAAACCAACAAACAAAAAAGTATGCCTTTTACTTCTAATGGATTACTTAATTCAAGAATTTATAATCAAACCTTGAGTTCTATGAAATGTATTATAGTGTTCAACTGAATCTTTCTTAAAATTTATTTTTTTCTATAAACAGTGTTTTATAATACAACTGAATCTTAAAATCCACTTTTTCCACTCTTTCTCCATCTTTAGAAAGCATTTGCCTGTGCAGAGGAAGACGACAACCAGGAAGCAAATGACTGCTTGCTTATCTATGATAATGAAGGTGTAGATGACTCAGACTCTCCCTTGGGCTCCCTGGGCTGTTGCAGTTTCATTGCTGATGACTTGGATGACAGCTTCTTGGACTCGCTTGGCCCCAAATTTAAAAAACTTGCTGAGATAAGCCTGGGTGTGGATGACGAAGCCACACACGCTCAGCCACGCCCTAAAGACAGCGGTTACGGGACTGAAGCCCCGCAGTCAGGGTCTGTGAGGTGCCAGACTTTGTCAGGAAGTCAAGGCACTTTGGCCCAACAGGGCTCTGGGTCTTTCCAGCCGGCTGTTCCCATCCCTGACCCTCTGCAGCCTGGTAGCTATTTGGTGACAGGGACTTACTCCGCTTCTGGTACCCTCGTGCAACCTTCCACTGCAGTCTTTGATCCACTTCTCACACAAAATGTGACAGTGACAGAAAGGATGATCTGTCCCATTTCCAGTGTCTCTGGCAACCTGGCTGGCCAAACGCAACTACGAGGGTCACGCTCTATGCTCTATCCAGAAGATCCTTGCCCCCGTCCCATATGACCACAGTGAATTAGAATAACATATTGACTCAATCTGAATATTTGAACCAAATTATTTAAAATAGCAAAGCAAAGCTCACTGTATTGGGTGAATGTAAACTCAACATGGTTATATTTAAATGTTCGGGTTCGTACCCTGAAACTTGGCATGTTGTCACTCTTAATTCTCAAATACTATTCGAATTGTAATAAAAAAAACTCTTAAGAGCACATTCTTCTGGAAAATTTCCTAAACATTTTTAAGCTTTCACTTTTCCAGTGCCAAAGGAAAGTATTTGTCATTTTAAAACGCAACGTGTTTTAGTGGATTAAGCTATTGAAGCCAAGAGTTTGATTCTTGACTTTGATTCTCTGACCCCTGCTCTTACATCACTGGTGATGAGTAAGAGTCACAAGGTATTTGCTAAAGCATTTTGAGCTGCTTGGAAAAAGGAAAGACATTTCTTCTGTCTTCTTGGTGCCGGGGGACCATAAATACATCTTTTGCTCAACTAAGGGGTATGGGTTTATGCATTAAACTTCCTCTATGTTCCACAAATTCTCACAAGAAGAAAATTTTGATATAGAAACATCATAGAACATTTATGAAAGTTTAGTACGATATAAATAATATTTTGTGTGTTTTAATCTCCTTGAAAGGACCTATCCAGAGAAAATATTTCACACACTTCTCAGTAGCACATCCTGTATTAGTCTTTGAAAATGGTTCCGAACCGGGCTTGGTGGCTCAGCCTGTAATCCCGCACCTTTGGGAGGCCGAGGTGAGTGGACTGCCTGAGCCCGCGGGTTCGAGACCCGCCTGGGCAGCGAGACCTCATCTCTATCAAAAAATCAGCCGGGCGTGGTAGCGCATGCCTGTAATTCCAGCTACTTGGAAGGCTGAGGCAGAAGGATCACCGGAGCGCAGCAGGTTGAGGCTGCGGTGGCCGGGAGCGGCCACTGCACTCCAGTCTGGGCGACAGAGTGAGACTCCAACTCAAAAAAAAAAAAGAAAAGAAAATGGTTCCTTATTTTTTAAAAAGTCAGTGGGTAGTCATAACATACATATAACATAGAGTGATGTTTATTATGTTAGCAATGTCTACAGGCATTGTGGGAATACAAAACATGGCTTTTTTTTGTAAGCAAAAAAGGGCTGCTGAGTACAATAACACATGGGGAAATTTGTAAATATGTATTATATGCAGCATTTTAAGAAAATAGTTGATGACATAATTTTCAAGTCAAAAATGGATACGGAAATGGGATTATGAGTAAATTCTTTTTTTTTTTAAGCCTCACTTATAAATTAAACAGCCACAGTGATTTCATGCTTGAATATAATAATATGAGGGCAGTGAAGGTTTGGACTCTATTATTGCTTGCATGCAATCACAATAATCATGCAGTTCTTTGAGTCATTTCTGGTCAATCAAGATAGTCTACCCTTTAGCCCATAGAAAGCACCCTACCTCACCTGCTTACCAACATTGTTGCCTTAGCTGAGTCTTCACAAGGTCATTGTCAAGCTGCATTATTCCTAATTGTATATAAAATACAAAGTTTTATATTTTCCTTTCTGGATTTTTTTTTTTTTTTTGCCATATTCAAAACCTAATTTTTGTTGTTTTTTTTTTCAAATGAATTGCAAAGTAATTAAGTATCTGTGTGTTAACATGGAAGGGTGCAGTCCTGAGGATCCTAGAGGAAGGAGACACCCTAAATGTCCCTATCCTTAGTTCTTTCCTCACCCTGGTACCATGACAACCAGGAATTCATGTGCTCGGATAGCCAGAGAAGTGAAGGCAGCCAAGACTACCACAAACTAAGTTGCTGCAGCAACAAGGCTTTCAGTGTGTCTATCTTGAGGTCTAAGGAGCCAGACCTCGTGCAGCGGTCTGCTTAGTCCTGAGGAAGTTGCATTGTTGTTACTGCACTGTCTTTTTCTGTCTTTTGCTTCTCAGTGGTTGCTCACTCTGGGGTCTAGAACACACAGCTGATGTGTGCCTTTGATCATGCATGAGGGTTACATTGACAATCACAATAGCCACACACTAACATCTATAATCCCTGCACTTTGGGAGGCTGAGGTGAGAGGATTGCTTGAGTCCAGGAGTTTGAGACCAGCCTGGGAAACATAGTGAGACCTCGTCTCTACCAAAAAAAAAATCCAAAAATTATCTAGGTGTGGTGGTGTGTGCCTGTAGTCCCAGCTACTTGGGAGACTGAGGCAGAAGGATCATCTGAGTCCAGGAGGTCAAGCCTGTGATCATGCCACTGCACTCTCACCTGGGTGACAGAGTGAGACCCTGACTAAAAAAAAAAAAATTATAATAACCCTCATTCGAAGTTCAAAGGTGTATTCAGGATCCTCAAAGTATTTTAACCTTGACTCTTAAAGCCCAACTTGTGAAATGGAAATGTTGCTGCATTGCCAAACTACAGAGAAAACCATGCCATCATAGTAGAGGTTATATAAGAGAACATTTGAAATTAAATGTGTTTTTAAATTTTAAAAATATATCAATCTTTAAGACGATCTAAAAATCGAGTGCCATGTAAAATGTATCTGCATTAGTTTCACACAAAAAATTTTAAGCAGAAAATTTAAAACTGCCCTACTTGATGTATTATACATTTTGAACAGTATACTAAACTGTAAACAGTGTAACATTGTTATAATAAAACTGTTTGGTAAAAAGTTTATGAGTGCTTCCTTAACCATTTAGTAAAAGCTGGACTGCTCTCTATAGAGAGTTTTCAGAACTATGATATAAAAAGTGACTTGCATATGTATTTTTTATTAATATTTGTTTTTGTTTTTGTTTTTCTGGCTGATACCATTTCTGCATCTTCCAGGCAGGAAGGAAGCATCTGGATCACTTAGGTAAAAGCAATGCAGGGGGAGATACTGGGTGAGGTCAGGGCAGAAAGTCTTTACTAACTGGATGCTTTAAAGCATTGGCTGCTTATTTGGCAAATTTCAATGGTCTCTCGGGCAAAAGTTGTAACATTCTAAGGTGACTTGGGAAGAAAAGGTAGAGTTAAGAGAAGGTAGTGTTTCCAAGGTGGAAGCCACCTCCCCAGTGGTAGAACTGTTTCTTAGTAAATATTTATCTCCTTATGTCTTCCTTTAAGAGATGCCACAAAATAAGTCCATTTGGAACTTCGAAACTTGCTTCTGACTGACATTCCTGCTTCTTAAATCTGGACAGTCTTGGACCTGGGGCATGGGGAGAAAAACTAGATTAAAGTGGATATTGGGTGAAGAATAGTGGTTGGCTTAACTCAGATGTTTCAAATCGATTCCAAGAAAACAAAAGGCATGCAGGTAAAATCCCCCAAAATATTACCCGCTTCTTCTATTCATAGAAAGTTAAAAGAATAAAAATGGCAAAACCAGTTGAGCTTAACTTGAAGATCTTCAAAGGTCAGGTAAGAGTATAAAATGAATGTGGTCAATTGACAAGATTTGATGCAACCAACAATTAGAAACAAAGTAGACTGGGTGTGGTGTCTCACGCCTGTAATCACAGCACTTTGGGAGGCCAAGGCCAGAGGATCAGTTGAGCCCAGGAGCTCGAGATCAGCCTGGGCACCATAGGAAGACCTAGTCTCCACAAAAATAAAAATAAAAAATTAGCTGGGTGTTGTGCATGTCCATAATCCCAGCTACTTGGGAAACTGAGGCAGAAGGATCACCTGAGCCCAGGAGTCCGAGGCTGTAGTGAGCTACAACCATGCCACTGTACCTTGGCATCGGAGTGAGACCCCTACTCAAAAAAGGAAGGAAGGAAGAAAAGAAGGTGAAAGATCCTCTTTTTTCTTGCCATTCACCATTGTCTCATGTCCTTTATTGAGTCTACAAAGAGGAATTCTAAAGTAGAGATTATATGTTTTAACATTGTTCAATAACATAGTTTGAGATGATTTTATGTAAAGGGATAATTGATAAGACAAGAAGACTGACAATCATCTAAATTCCAGGTGCCAGAAACCACTGTGTCTTCCACAAGGAACACTGAGACTCTTCCTGCTTTTCCTGGTCCACTGTGAGCAGAGGTTCCCTCCACAGCCAAGACATCAGCCATCCCCCGGTTGATGTCTTTACTTTATTTTTCTTTTTTAGGTTGACTTTTTTTTTTAACAAATGCAAAACAAAAAACCTAGACACAATGGAAATGTAATTAAAATTCAAGATAATTATGTCTAAAACAACAAGTGCAAATGGATGCCCTTACCAGAGCAAAAAGAAAAGGGACATTGGTGAGGGTACCAGGTGGCCAAGAAACCTACATACTCTAATCCAGTATTCACAATAACCCTCAGAATATGGCCACAAAAATGGAGACTCAGAGAAGCAAAGTAACTTTCTGAAGGTTGCACAGTAGAGTGGCACAAGTCTAAAAGTTTATCTACAGTTATCTGGCAATAATAATAATTATTACTCTCTCAGGACAATTCAATCACTTTCAACTCTAAGACTTGAGTAGAACATAAAGAGTTAGGAAGAATACAAATAAAACAATAAAATTACTTTAAAAATTAGAAATCTAGAAGCAATTCTAAAGATTAAAGAAGCAGTACAATGTAGGCAAGTGTGCAATAATGTGTATGCAGAGAGAGAGAGAGAGAGAGCACAATTTACTGCCATTTTGAAGTATATGAGGGGATTATTTTTCAGGGAACAAAGGCCAGTTCTCTTCCACAATCAACAACTACTAAAGACAAAAGTTTAAATTGCAGAATCAGGTATTTAGCTGAATTTAAGATATAATTTCTGTGATAGTTCTAATCTTATAAGCACTGAAACAAGTCACCTAGGAGTCACGGAATTTCTTTTCCAGTTAACTCCCTCAGAGCTACTTCTACGTCACACTGTCTAGAAGAGTTTACATGAAATGTAACTAGGTGTAAATGTGATAACCTTAAATAAGTCCTTAGAAGAATTGATGTGAAACGCATCTAGATATAAAGATGATAGCCGTAAAACAGGGCCTTAGAAGAGTTTTTATGAAATATACCAGTTCAGTGTTTCCATGACTTGTGAAAAAGAACATATTTTAACTACAACTTTTTTTCTTCTTGAAGTCAGTCCATTTCTACTTTTCTTTCCATGAAGTTTAAGGGGCCTTATATTTTCAGTTATATGCCTAAGAGCATCTCTGATAGTTTCTGTGTGATATTTTCTTCATTATTAACTTAGCAAATGAG